GGCTTAGGGCTTAGGGTTGAGAGGTTTATAGGTTTCGAAAGGGTTTAGGGCTTAGGGCTTAGGGTTGAGAGGTTTATAGGTATCGAAAGGGTTTAGGGCTCAGGGTTTAGAGGTTTATAGGTTTCGAAAGGGGTCGTTGGGATCTGCGAAAGTTTTTGGCCGGGTTGGTGGTGGTATATGTAGACATTTATCCGAATTATGGTCACCCTGAAGGCTCTAAACTTGCAACTCTGAACCTAAGGCTCTAGCTCCCAAGACAAGCTGTGTTGTGCTGAGTTTTTGCTTATCTGAGATTCGGGTTTCCATGTTTCCGGATTCGTACTTTCTTGGGTGTAGGGCTTTAGGTTGTAGTAGTTCAGGTTGTAGGTTCGTTGTAAAACATCCCTAAACCCTAACCCCCGAACCCTAAACCCTTAAAGCCCCAAAGCCCTAAACCCTAAGCCCAAAATCGCACCTTGCCCTAAACCCTAGGCCCTGAACCCTAAACCCTGAACCCTAAAACCCTAAACCTCTTTATCATATGTATATTTAAACTTTAATATCCCTAAACCCTAAAACCTAAACCCTAAACCCTAAACCGAAGGTTGATGGAGTCTGGAGTGAATCGGATTTGGACTGGGGACCCAGCCCTCCTCGCGGGGGCTTCCAAAGCGCGCCCAGCTCTGCGGGGTTTAGGGTTTAGGGGTTTAGGGGTTTAGGGGTTTAGGGTTTAGGATTTTAGGGATGCGGCTTGGAGGTTAGGGCTTAGGGGTATTTTTCTCAAAGATGTCAAAATCATGGTCCATTTGGGGAACCCTATAGATTTTTGCCGTAATGCAGCACCCTGTGGTTTGAGAACCCCAAAGAAATTCCTGTTTTGGACGACCACCCATGTGAATTTGAGTGGCCCGTGCAGGTGCAGGGGCCCCATTTCCAAATGATACCGCCGCCGCCGGGCCAGACCCTCAACTCAACCCTAAACCCTAAACCCCAAGGCCTAAACCTTAAACCCTAAACCCTAAGCCCTAAACCTTAAGCTCTCAACCCTAAGCTCTAAACCCAAAAAGCCCGATCCTGCAGAACTTGAAGCCTCTTTGAAGGGCACTGCTTCTCCCACAAAAGAGCGAGTTAACCCTAGAGAAAGCAAGGGCAAGCCCAAGATGAGATTAACAGAATAGAACCTAGTAGCAAAGATCATGGTAATCATAACGGTTTAGGGTTTAGGGTTTAGGGTCTAGAAGCAAAGATCATGGTAATCATAGTGGCCAGAACCGGGTATGATAGCAGGCTAGAGTAGTAGTAATCACAAATCATAATAGTAGTAGTAGTAGTAGTAGTAGTAGTAGTAGTAGTAATAGTAGTAATAGCCGGCATCATCATACTGGTAGTGATGGCAGTGTTCATGACAATGGCAATGGCTATGACAATGGTAACATTGTACCAAGCACGATAGTACTCGTGGTCAGAAACATGCGATTTTTACATTATAACTATCATGGCAATACCAAGTGTTGTTCATTGCTTGGGTGTTTGTGTTCCTCTGACATATCCTACGTACGGTGTATTCCTGTATTTCTAAAGGGGTAGTGGGATTTCTGGGAATAATTGAATAGTAGTAGGTACACTACCATTTTGTGCAGCTTTATTCGGAACCTTGCGTTGGTCAAGGAAACTTCGTCTTCTGTCTTGCTCTTGCTTGTAGACTTCCCGTTACCAATACCTCCATACTGTGCTACTATTGTTGGAATGTGTGCCCGTTGGCAGTTGGCGTTCTTCTAGATACAGCAGTCGATATAAATCGATGTTGGCAACCTTCACCCTAAGGGTCCATGTACCCAAATAGTAGAACATTGGCCTTAATGTAGTCCCTATGGGTACTTTAGGGCCAATGTTCTACTATTTGGGCACATGGACCCTTAGGGTCAAGCCCTAGGGCAACGCAGCAAGCATGCTCGGCTCTCCATTGTCACGTCGCGTATCCAAGAAACGCGTGCGCGGCTGCACATGGAGAGGATAGCTCCTCCTGGGAGAGCGCAGTCGAAAGGTAAAATATCCTTCGAGGGTGTACATTAACCTTAATCCCAAATAGCATGCCTTAAGGACATGTATAAAGAAACCATGATAAGGAACCCTGCAAACTTTGTAGGTTTCATAGGGCTCAGGGCTGTCTGAAGAGTTTAGCGTCCAGGGTTTGCAGAGCATCGGAGGTTCGGGATCCACGTTGCTACATGAAGTTTCACACGCCGAAAATAACGCTAAGGCGACGGACCGTTACGAGTTCGACGTGTCGCAAGAGGCTTAGCTAATCCTAAGGTGCTGGGTACCCCAAACAGACCCAGATGTCCTATAGAAAGGAGTACTTGGACCCTTAGCGCAATGCTAAGTGCTGAACGACGATAAACCGAGCACGTCAGAAGCACCGATCTAACCCTAAACCCTAAACCCTAAACCCTAAAACTGGGTTCGAAGCTGCCACCTGCAAATGCCCCAGGGTGATAAACAGCATGGACGCAACGCGCTATGGTTTGCGCAACCCTATTCCACCTCTTGCTGTTTCGCTCAAGACGAAGATAAGCCTAAACCCTAAACCCGATATCCTACACTCCAAGCCCGAAACGCTGAACCCTATACCCTATACCCCAAAACCTCAACCCTAAACCCTGAACTCTATACCCTAAGCCCCATACCCTAAACCAAATCCCGGGCTCACTTGACCCAAGCCCTGAATCCCCGCATTCCTGAGACCCCGAAGCCTGAAACCCGAGCCTCCTCAGTCTTATATGGGTGGTTGTCAAAATTATGGTCCCTTTTTGGGTCCTTATTATAATACAGCACCTATTATTTAAGGTACCCCCAAAGGGACCTTAATTTTGACAACTACCCATATAAACTTAAAAACTTCGGGTCTTTTTCAAAGTGCAATGACGCCCCTTTCTCCAAAGCGCGCCTACCCAAATAAGGGCATACACTAAATCAGCACGCCCCGCTCTTCTACGTAGGTTTAGGGTTTAGTATAGTTTAGGGTTTAAGAATTGTAAACCCTGCATGCCAAATGCCCCACTTTATTTGCAGGAAGCTGATTTAAGAAACCCTGAGTCCTAAACCCTAGACCACAGACCCTAAACCCTAAACCCTAAGACTCCCGTGATGCGGCATCCGGCTACTTCATGAAAGACATCCGCGAGAAGCACCCCAATAAGAGGTTCACCCCACGACCCTAAACCTGCTTAAACTCCTGAAAAACCTTGTTGATTTGAGCCTTAAACCACCGCAGACCCCTAAACCCTAAACCCTGAACCCTAAACCCCAAACATCACTAAACCGACCATAGGCTCAACCCTAAAGCCTAAACCCAAAACCCTAAACCCCAAACATCACTAAACCGACCATAGGCTAAACCCTAAACCCTAAACCCTAAAACCCTAAACCCTAAACCCTAAGCACCTCCCACAGCTCCTGTCAGTTCATAGTCGGCACCGTGACCAGCGCATTTCCGAGGCCGAACCTGCGAGACTCCACCTCTCCTTAAGGGAAACCTAGGACCCCAAAAAACCGATAGGGTTTAGGGTTTAGGGTTCAGGGTTTAGGGTTTTAGGGTTTTTAGGGTTGGGGGTTTTCAGGGTTTTTAGGGGTTTTAGGGGTTTAGGGTTTGGGGTTTAGGGTTTCGGGTTTAGGGCTTAGACCCCAAGAAAACCATATGTTGAGTTTTCCGAAAATAATGGGTACCGTATCTTGGGATCCTTACAATAAGGGTCCTACTGTTTAGGGTACTATACTATAGGGTCCCCTATAGTCGGAAACCCCCATCTGTTTTTAGAGCTCCTTAATATCTTGCATTACCTTAAGGACCCTAAACTATAGGAATCATGGTACATTCCTTATAATGGGCAATGCAGGATTCATATCATCAACCATGTTTCGCAATGATTTACCTGCATTCAGGTTCTGGAGTCGCTAGGTGATCTGGTAGCCCTCTTGGGTCCAGCATAAGATTTAGAACCGTTTTTTTCGCCCAGGCTTTAGGGTTCCCAGAATTGGTTTAGGGTTTAGCGTTTAGGGTTCAGGGTTTAGGAGCGTTACTTGGAGGTTCATTGGTAGTTATAAGTGGGGTTACAAGTCCCCTAATATGGGTTATAAGTATCCCTACTTAAAACCCGACTTACAACTACCCTGGAACCTCCCATTCGGGTTGAGGCAGGTTCCCGTCCGAGTGTATACGGGTTACAAGGGGGAGGCTATTACGAGTCACTGGGACCCCTATGCGATATGGGTGATTCTCTAAATTAAGGTCCTGTTTAGGGTCCTTGTCATAAGGGTGCCGTACTATGTTGGGGACCTAAAAAGGAATCCTAACTTAGAGAACTACCCGTAAAGGGGTTGAGTATCGTGCGTATATAGTGTTTGGTCCTGGGGCAATCGGGCTCTTTATGATGCCAGAGCTAGTGGGATTGTAAAGTTCAGTGTTACAGAGCTTAGGTTGTTTGCAAGATTGTACTGGGGGGTTGAGGGCAAGTTAGACTAACACTATATCAGAGACAGAGACCCCTACGAAATATTGCAAAAGCTTCTGTGGTTTGGGTGTAGGCCGCCGTTTTGGGGTTTGGGTTGGAGTCTAGGACTAGGACAAACCCTAAATGCGCAAACCCGAAGCCGTGAAACGTAATTTCGAAGCGCTAGACCCTGAACCTGGCCTGAACTAAACACCTGAAAGCCAAAACCAGCTGAGCCCGCGGCAAGAAGGATGCATTGTCCAGGTTATGGTAGGCGCTGAACTCCTGGTATGCCACAGTCCTGGTGCATAAGGTTTCTTTTGAAGGGTTCTGATTGGGGTATATTGGGGTTATATACTATCATCTAAGGGAGGATTTAGCGGTTCAGGGGATGTTCAACTTGCTGGTTTGGGGTTCCTTTATGAAGGGCTCTGTAACAGATACTTACAGGCTTCTGTAGGGTTTCGATTTGGCTTCACTGTCGCCCGACGCGTCGAGCCGCCTCAGCCCAAAGCCCGAAAGCCCTGAACACGCGAGCCTTGAAGTCCTGAGCTTTGAAAACGAAAGTTTAGAGTTTAGGGTTTAGGGTTTAGAGTTGCGGGTTTAGGGTTTAGAGTTTAGGAGAACCGAAAAGGACGTAACAATATTTTGAATTCTGTCAGGCTTCTAGAATTTCCTTGCATCCCTAGCTTTGAAGACCCTTGGATTCCAGTATGCAGCCAAAGATTCTGTTCCGCCGTGAGACCCAGATCCTTCTTCACCTGCCAGGAGGACGTTGTTTGCACCACGACTGCGCTGCTGCTGCCACTGCTACTACTGCTACTACTACTGCGACAATTACTGGTACCACCACCAGTACCACCAATCGTAATCACGAGCCCAACGAAACAATTCCAATACTGCCAACAATAATCCTGACGACAATTCCAATAAGACTGAGGATGAACTGCGATATCGATGCTCATGGTGCTCCTGGTGGCGGTGGCGGCGGCAGCACTGGTAGCACTACTACTGCCCCGGCCCCCACCGGAATAGTTCACCATGTTTAGTTTTGCACTAGAGAGCTCCAGACCTTCAAGAAAGGCATTTGGGTGGTTGTCAAAATTATGGTCCCTTTTTGGGTCCTTGTTATAATACGGCACCTATTATTTAGGGTACCCCAAAAGGGACCATCATTTTCACAACTACCCATATGACGGTTTACGGTTTAGGGTAATCCATGCTTATCTATAAAGAACATCCCTTCCTAAGAAGGTATAGGGCCCTTAGGGGTGTGACTACAAAACACTGGAAGACTGGAAGCGACCGACGGCTAGCGTTTGAGATTTCGGCACTCACGCTCGGGCAAGCTCGCCAAAAGCGGTGTAAGGTCTCATGGCCTTCCCAAACCCTAACCCCAAAACCCAAAACCCAAAACCCAAAACCCTAAACCCTAAACCCTAAACTCTAAACCCTAAACCCTAAACTCTAAACCCTAGGTCAACCCGACAGCTCCCGGATTGCAGGCGTCACGAGCCCTGGACTATGAGGACTGAGGGATGCCTGGACTATGAGGACTGAGGGACGTTCAGAGCATGAAGCCTTTCTGTCTGGCACCAGACACCCCTGTCGGTTTAGGGTTTAGGGTTTAGGGGTTTAGGGTTTAGGGTTTAGGGTTTAGGGTTTAGGGTTTAGGTCTGGTGCTTTATAGGGAATGGGGGGAATGGGTTCTAGGGACTACTATAAGGGACCTTAAGGGACGATCATAGGGATCCCTTCCCCCATTCCCTACTCAGCACCAGACAGTTTTGGTTCAGGGTTTTAAGCCCTAAACCCCAAACCCTAAACCCTAAACCCCGAGGTTCAGCTACCAGACTCAATCGTTCGTCACACTTTTAAGCAGCGGCCCCTCAACTTATCAAAACCTTATATCTGGGCTTTGAAGTAAAAAAAGCAAAAAAACAAAAGCTTCTATTTCATCAGGGTTCCTGAAAAGAACGGTCCCAAACAATTAGAGCATGGTACTCCAGAACCCTGACCTAGAGATACAAACCCATGCGGCAGCTTTATAAGGCCCAAGTAAAGGCCGTGGCAGCTGCACCCGAAGCCCTGCCAAACGAATTGCAGCTCATCTGCCTACGCCTTATCCATTGGGTGTAGGGTTTGCTGAGAGTTTGGGTTGTTTCTGCCTCCTATCTAGCAAGGACGTGCCCGCATTGCAGGGTGGTTAGTCGGATTTGGAAATGCACAGGTTAGCCTCATGTTAAGGCCGACCAATTACCTAGATCATCTCGTTCAGATGCTCTGGGTTAGGGTTTAGGGTTTATTGAGGGTTTGGTGGCTGAGGTCTCTCTGGATTTGTCTGGCATAGGCTTTTCTAGGAATATGGAACTCCTCTACCCTGCCTATAGTCTCCAGTATAGTTCCTTTTCTGGTTACCCAATCTTGGATTATAGGACCCTGACCCTAACTGTAAAATTTGTAAACCAAGGAAAGGAACTACAAAGGAGACTATAGGTAAACCCTCAACCCCCTCTCGCCCTCTGCAAAGGGCAGTAAGTTTAGATGTTTGGTATTTCATTACCGGGTGTTTAGCAGTTTCCGATGTTTAGGATGCCCTTCCCGAAATTTAATCTGTGTTTGCTCCGGTTGGTGCAACGTGTCCCTGACACGGCTTAGAGCCAAGCCTTCAACCAGAAACGCCAGCCCAAAGCCAGGTTTAGGGTTTAAAAGGGCTTAAGGTTTAGGTAAAGTTGCGGCTTTAGGAGTTAGGGGCAGGCCTCGGCGCACAAACCCTCCGCCCAACCGTTTTGAAGCTTGAGTGGCAGAGGACCCGCGTACACTAACGCCCGAAGCCATGAGCCTGAAAACCCTCCCAAGCACCTTCGCCAAAGCTGATGCTTCGACCTCCAGATTTACCAGGCAGAAGCTGAAGTTTGTCTGCTTCCTTTAGAGATTCTTGTGGAGCTTTTAAAAGGATCGTTTCAGGGTCCGTGCAGGATTTCGCGCGATTTTCCGCAGCATGCTGTGCTGGGCGTAAACTGCCAAAACCTACGGTTGTGTAGGGTCCGACAATCATTCGATATGAGAACTCATCCTAAGAACCTACGAAAAGGTACGTTGCGGCAGTTTATGCCAGGATCTCGGGCTTCCTCGGATTCGGGTGGTTGGGTTTCGGGTTGCTTAGGGTTTTTGGTAGTACCTATAGTCTCCATTGTAGCTCCTTTTTTTGTTTAACCATTTATATATTAAGGATTTTATAAGGTATCCCCCAAAAGGAACTACAATGGAGACTATAGGTAGCATCAGCGGAGCAAGATTAAAGAAATCGAAAGCCAACATATCATTCGTTACTTGGGCTCACTCTTACCAATGAGTGGTTGCTCAAGGCGGAGCACTTGGGTAGTTCTCAAAATTAGGGTCCTTTTCTTGGGGTCCTTATTATAATACGGCACCTATTATTTAGGGTACCCCAAAAGGGACCATAATTTTGACAACTACCCACTTGACCAAGAGCGGGAAAAGTACGGCACCTCCAGCAACCGCTGCTGCGCAACTGCTTTCGCGACGCCGATATCCTCCGAATCAGAAATTGGGAGTTTCAGAAAATTAGGGTACATTTTTTTGGGGGTCCTTATAATAGGGACCCTACTATTTAGGGTACTATATTAGGGTCCCCTATTTTCGGAAACCCCAAATTACTGAGCCGTGTAGGGTTTGGGAGCTTGGGGTTTTCATGCTCGAAGGTTGAGGTCAAGATGGTCGTGGGCTAAGTTGTGGAACAGAATTCCTGCCATCTTGTGCATGTCTACCTGAACTCACATGGCCCATAATTAATTGTAAGTGGGTAGTTGTCAAAATTATGGTCCCTTTTGGGGTACCCAAATAATAGGTGCCGTATTGTATTAAGGACCCAAAAAGGGACCCTAATTTAGAGAACTACCCAAGTCCACATCGTGGTACCGCACAGCTCGAGCCCTTACGATGCTACGATGCACACAAGGCTTAGGCCCACATTAGCAACCTGAGACGAGACTTGCGCGGCCAATACCGTCCTCTGAAAAAGCTCAAGAGGCACTTCAAAAGCACCTGCAAGACCTTGCTAGTCTTAACCGTAAACCCTAAACCCTAAACCGTACGGGCCTAGACTAAGGCCATGCTCTGTCGTTTGGAAATCCGAAACCCTGAGCCCTGAACCATCACTTGAGGCTCCTTTTGCAGCCGTGACCAGGGTTTAGGGGTTTAGGGTTTAGGGTTTGGGGTTTAGGGTTATGGGTTTAGGGTTTATGGGTTTAGGGTTTAGGGTTTAGGGTTCAGGACATGGGCCTGTGGTTTGAAAAGTAATATGCGCCCCCACGCTTTCCACTTCTTGCGGAGTTGAAGTAAGATGTGCCTTACAAACCCCAAACCGCACATGCCAGACAACGAGTCTCGTTGTCAAACTTAGCTACCTCTTCCGTGCGTCTGAAATCTTCAGCTTACATATTCACTGCTTATCCAATAGCACTGATAATCGTAACAGTAGAGCTAGTGTGATCTGTGAGTAGTTCGCTTTTGCGATCTGGGTCCAGTCAGATGTCTTGGAGGGGTACGCTTCGAGAAGTCCACATCCCGGATGCCTGGGTGTACTGCGCATCCGCACCGTTCTTCGTGACGGTCACATTCCTGCGCTAAACTGAAAACCCTACTTGGAGGTTGACGGGTAGTTATAAGTTGGGTTATAAGTAGGGTAACTATACTTATAACTGATATTCGGGGACTTATAACCCTACTTATAACTACCCGTGAACCTCCAAGTAAACCCTTGACCCTTAACCCAAAACGTAAGGCCCAAGTCCTAAACCCTAAACCCTTACCCCTTCAGCGAACACGCTCTGTTCGCTCTGAAGACCTCAAGCCTAAATCGCCGGAAGGAGAACAAGCACACTCCTTATGTGTCGCTCAAACGATTTAGCTGAATGCTCTACATAAGCCCTGGATGCATATACCCTAAAACGCTCTAGGCCACCAACAATTGCCAAAACCTGTGCTAAGCAGACAGCTCTGCAGAAGATAGGATAGTAGGAGTTACAGGGTTTGGGTCTCATTACCTTGTGCACAACTGCATCACAAGCGTTCCGTGAGGTAAGTTGTTGAGAACGTCGGGCTTTTCGCATTTTGGTTAAAAAAACAAGTCCTTCAGCTTAAGCCCTAAATCCTATTTGTTTACAAACTTGTTTTGGTAGTTTGGCTTAAATATACTTGTGCCATAAGCAGAACTGTAACTGCAGACATCAATGGCCATTCCTAGTTGCTGAGTTCATAAGCCCCAAAAAGTGTACACTTTCAGTTCTATAAGGGATCATATAATCCCAAAAAGTGTAAAGTGTACTCATTCAGCTACTAGGCATTTCTGCAGATCAAGCCACTGACCCGCTAGGCGGGTTGAAAACTTCGGGCTCCCAGCGGTGCGTGTCGGTAATGACATTTGGCTACTGGTTTCGGTTAGGCTTTAGGGTTTAGTGTTTAGGGTTTAGGGTTTAGGGCTTAGGATTTCGGGCTTAAAGAATGAATGGGCTTAAGATTCCGGGTTTAAAGAATGAACGGGTTTAAGATTCCGGGTTTAAAGAACGAATGGGTTTAAGGATTGTTTGTACACCGTCGACCGATGCACGAGATGACATTGAGCAGGCCAACGCGCATATCATCACTGCAACCACGACGCCAAGAGCCCCAGAGGTTCAACAACTCTGCACATGAAATCCCGAAAGCGCTCAACCCCTCTCGAAGGTACGGAAAACTTAATAACACAAGCTGGAAACATAAGCCTGTAAACGGAATAACTGCCTGCATTCACGCATTTTCTCCCGAAGCGACATCTACCCTGCGCTTGCGATTAGCAAGACAATGAAAGCAACGACGGGCTGTTGTTGCTCCTCCTCTACGACATCACTACATCACTAATCACTACCACTACCTACTCTACTACTACTACTACGACGACGACGACTACTACTACCACTACTGCTACTGCTGCAGCTACTACTACTACTACTGCTGCTACTACTACTACTACTACTACTACTGCTACTGCTACTACTACGACTGCGACTGCGACT